AATAATTATGGTAATTCCCAGCTTGAACAAAGCCTCTGCCTCTAGAATTGAAGTTTCTGCCACCACCATAGCCTATGCCACGTTGATGTCCTCTCCCCCTATGTGCAACAAAGGCTTGAGCATAAACTGGAATTTTGTCCTTGTTTTCTTGTTCTGCACTTTGCAAGTCTCTTTCATTATTTTGCAAACCTGCAATGTATTGAGTAAAAGTAGGATATGGGGCTTTTGATAGAACAGCAAGATTATAAGGTTGAAATCGTGTTCCAACAACCCTGGAAAGTTGAAACACCTTGTCTAAGTCTTCTAGAGGCTTTCGAATGGCAGCCAAGTTATCACAAGTTCTTTTGAATTTTCTGATGAACTCTTCAAGAGGTTCACCATCTCCTCGTTTAACCGCCAACTATCCTTTGAGATGCATTTCTTGCTCCTTTGTTGAAGCTAGGTAATGATCCTCTAAGCTTTTCCAGATTTGAAAAGCTGACTCACAGCCAACAACAAGACTTAATGCTTCTTCATTCATAGTTCCAAGCAGCCAACTTGTAAGCAGCCCATCATTATTCAGCCAGACTTCATACTCTGGATTGAGCACTTCTTTTTCATCTTTGATCATTGTCATTGTTGGCGCCACTTCCTCCTCAAGGTGATGCATAATTTGAGCACTCCGAATCAATGGATAAATCTGTGATTTCCATAGAAGGAAGTTTGAGCTTGACAGCTTTACTGAAACCAAGCTTGCCATCTGGTGGAAGCTTTGGATAGTAAGCTGATTCTTGTTTCTAGCCATCAGTCTGATTTTGTTGAACTTGATATGTGATGTAAAGGAGGCTATTTGTGAAGAGAAGAAAAAAATGGATTTAAGTATTCAGATGCAGGTAACCTGCTCTGATACCAGATAGCAGAAAGAATTAGAAGAAATTGATTGTATTCTTCCTTGAATCATTCTGTACAATGATTTGATCCTAAATTAGTGCCTAGTATTGAGCAATACTACCATCCTAAATTAGTGCCTAGTATTGAGCAATATTACCGTTGCTCTACATTTTGACCGTTGCAGCTATTGCTCCTTGGATCAGTCTTTGATTGCTTTGATATGGTTTCCTGCTTGGACGTGATTTCCTTATCTGTTGTGATTGTTTCCTTACTCATCCTCTGCTGTGATTCTGCCTTCATATCGTGATGGAAAGAGGGTTGTTTAAAGCTTTGATCCAATGATTGACAACTTGCAATCTCCTGGCTTTCCATGAGGTAACATTCTTTTGCAATAATGGGGCAGATGGAGTCAGCGACAACCCAAAAATAGTTTTGTCAAGGCTCGGCCGAGAGGAGAAGAGGATGGGGTCGTCGGTGTGTGCAGAGATGAGGATCTGTGGTGGTAAGGAGATCGATCAGAAAAAAATGGAACAGAGAAGGAATGAAGAAAGGAAGAGAAGTATGGCCGAGCGTGTTTGTTCAGTGGATCGGTAATGGGAGATATGGATATGGAGGGTGTGGGGTTAGAGAGAAGATAACAGTTTCAAATTAGGTGAAAATTGAATGAACAAATCCTAAGTGTTTGTGTAGATAAAAATTAATAAAGGGGAGAGAAGGAAGGGGAAGGAAAGGAAGGGAAGTGAGGGAAATAAATGATTGATGTTAATTAATTTTGTTTGGATACATAAAAGTAGAGAAGATTAAAGGATAATATTTTTATTTAATTAAATAATTTTTTAAAAAATAAAATAAAATAGAATAAAATTTTTAAAATTTATTAATTAAATAATTGATTTAAAATATATTTATATATTTATTTTTTAAAATGCCAATCCTTTTGAATCCTTTTGATTTGAAGAGATTGAAAACAGAAAGTAAAGGGGTTACATTTCTTTCCATCTCACTCCCTTCTATTAAAGTAAGTAATCCAAATATGAGAATGAGGCATCTCTCCCTTCTTCTCTTTCCCTTACCCTCCAACTTCTCCAATCCAAACTAAGGCTAAGGGATGTTTGTGTTAAAATGTTCCAATGGGCCCTGGCCGCTAATATGATATATCTCTTTTTTTTTGAAAAATGATTTATAAATAGCTTTTTTGTACTACATGCTTTTTTTTTTTTTTTGGTACATCTTTTTGTATTACATGTTGGTATAACCTTACATGTTATTAAATAATTTGCTCTTTTCATTTATTTGAGACTTATAACATTAAATGTTTTTATTATTTAATAATATGTGAAAATTATATAAAAATATTATATTTATATTAGTTCCCTTTTTGTTTTTTCTTTTTTTTGTTTTCATTCAATTAGCAAACCATGTAAGCAATGCATGGTTTCTTTTAAACACGTCAACATACTGTTAGAAATTAATTTTCATTAGCCACATCAACATAATCATTCACTAAATCCTTAAATAAAAAACTCATTAAGTTAATATCTTTATTTAAAAAAAATTAAAAGTTAAGAGCATAATTTAAAAATTAAAGAGTTTCGTATCTTTAAATAAAAAAAATAGCATAGTTGGTATTCTTATCTGCCCTTGTACTCCAACTTATCATCTTCTCTCATGCAAGTCAAGAAGTTTACTTCCCCTAGTTTTTCTTAAGATTCTTTACTTATTTCCCTTAATTATCTACTCATATCTTCTCATAGGGTAAGTTTTCTATAAATTCAGTTCTTTTGTTTTCTTCATCTCTGGTAAACATAGATTATTCCTCAAATTTTCTTGATTTTTAGATATTTATCTTAAGGTTAGAATCATCAATTATGATTTTATTTCTCATGAAAAACTAAACATCATCAATTGCATGAAAATATCAAGTTTATGTTTATCTTCCAATTCTCATTTTTTGTAAATTCTTCATATTTCTTATATAACCCGTGTTTTTCTCTAAAAGATCAAGTTGGGATTGACCTTTTTATTATTTTTTTTTATTTTGGATCCTTGAAGCTGTGTGTCTCAATCTTGTGTTGAATTTCTTAGTTTTAGTTGCTTCTTTAACCTTTTTTTTTTCCTTACTAGTATGCATGAGAAAAATCATTTTTCGTAAATTATATTTATGATTCAAATCAAAAGATAATCTTGGTATCTCAAAAACATTTTTGTAATGTTTTGGATTTTGTAGGAAAACTGATTGATCATGGATCGGAGTGCAATGTATGATAATAGGGAACCGACTTTCCCTTCTCAAACCATGGTCTTAGTTGGACGGACAGGGAATGGAAAAAGTGCAACAGGGAACAGTATCCTTGGACGGAAAGCTTTCAAGTCAGGAGCTAGCTCCTCAAGCGTTACAACTTCTTGTCAACTTGAAAGAACCGTGTTAAAAGATGGTCAGATTATTAATGTCATTGACACCCCCGGTATGAACCGTTAGACTCGTTTGAATTGCTAATTCTCGGCACTGCATTTGTAACACTTGCTCCCTAACTATAGAATAGAATGATCCCATATGGCTATATGCAAGTCATTTATACAATGTCTTTACTTACATCTTGATAATTACTTGCTAATTGGCTTTTGTTAACATGATACCGATTACAGGTATGTTTGATCTTTCTTCTGGATCGGAATTGATGAGGCAATGTATCAGTTTGGCTAAGGATGGTATCCATGCAATCCTAGTGGTTTTCTCTGTTAGGACCCGCTTCTCACAAGAAGAAGAGGCTGCGCTTCGTGGCTTGCAAAACTTCTTTGGAAGCAAAATTACGGACTATATGATTGTAGTTTTTACTGGTGGTGATGAGCTCGAAGAAAATGATGAAACTTTAGAAGATTATTTGGGACGGGAGTGTCCACAGCCTCTAAAGGTTAGTTTTTGACCTTGGCTATGACTGCCCAAAAATGAAAATGAATAGTGATTATATGCTTCATTGGAATTTGTTGATCAGGATCCACCCAGCTTCCAAGACTCTTTTATTAGACAAGTCCTTTATAGTTGTACTTATGTTTATGCCATTTATATACCTTATATAATTGTTGACTTCATGTTATTTTATAGTGCATATTGTTAAAAATGTCAATTAGCTGCATTTTATATTTTCAAGATACTCGATAAACTTATTTATTTTATGGTGACAAATGATGTATAGGATATAAGATTAATGAAATTTAACCATCAGTATTGTCATGATGGCCTTGGGATTATGATAAACCTTAACAAAAATGTACTCTTGGATTGTTGTGAGTTTTTTGCATACTTCTCTGTTTCAATTTTTTTACATGAATTAAAATCTAGTTTGATAGTTCTTCGCAATTCTTGTTTTAGTTTATAATTATCCTTGTTATGTAAGTGAACATGAAATCTTATTTTTTAACGTTGATCTAGGAAATTCTCACTTTGTGTCACAATCGATATGTGCTTTTCAATAATAAGACGAAAGATGAAACCCAGAAAGCCAAGCAACTTCAACAGCTTCTTTCTTTTGTTAACACTGTTATGTTGCAGAATGGTGGACAGCCATATACTAATGACACATCTATTGAGGTGCAGGTAGGTTTATTCTTCATTTTTATCAATTTTTTTGCATGAATAATATGGCTGACAATGACATTGAATCCTTTACAGATGGTGCCAATAGAGTTTGACTCCTCGGAGGGTCGTTCTGATTCTACTGAACGACAACTCAAGGGAACTATAGAGATGGTAGTTTTTCATCTTGCTATACTTGCATTCTTTTTCGCCAGGCAATAGGAGCTTACTGTTTATAACAATGCATATGCGCAGGATACTGTACCGTGCATCCATTGTTAGAGCAAAGCTGAGATTCTCTATTACACATTTGTGTGCATGCGTGGTCTCATTCATAAACAAGAGCACAAAAATAAAAGAAATAGAAACAAAAATAAAAAACATCGACTTGCTAAACATACCCTTACTTACTGGAGAGAGTTTTGTTTCAGTTTATGAACTACTTATATGCTGTGTTGGCCAATAAAAAAACTAATTATATGCTATAGATTTATTTGAAAATATATGGTATGTTTTGTTATTCAAGTAGGTTGAGTCAAAGCTCCAAGACGCTACTGCTAGACTTGAACAAAAGTTAGCAGAGGAGAAAGCTGCACGACTACGGGCCGAAAAGAATGCACAATTGATATCAAATGATTTAATTTCTAAACTGGCAGCGCAACTAGAAGAAGCAAGCATGGAGACTGATAGGCTGCGCAGGCAATTAGCTGAGCTGCACAATAGGCTTATAATCTGTACAATTCTCTGACATTATAACCGGCATGCCAATAGGTTCTAGTGCATGAAGTTTATCCTATAGTTCTGCTTATATAATCCCCTTCCTCCCTCCTAAGCTAAATAAAATGTTGGATTATTATGATTCAGACTCTTGTGTAAAAGCTTATGGCGCTGATATGGTATTGTGACTTATATATATATATACATATATTTTTCTCTATTTTGTGTTTCTGTCTTCCTATTAAAAGACCTGGATTAGTAGAACAATATATGCAGAATATTAGTTGAATATAATGATCAATTTAAGTGAGGCTTTTCATTGTATTGGGTAAGGAACAAAGCACAAGGGAAAGGCCCATGTTAGATATTACTATTATTATTGCGTAATTAAGACTTTCCATATATTTAGCAGCACGCATATGCTTTTTGCATATCCACAGGTAGCTAGGGTCTGATTTTTGTCGAGACTTGGGTATCAACCACAGGTTACATCCATTTCAGAATTTTTGAATTGGTGGTTGCTTGTTTATATATAATCAATGGGGTAGGACAATGAAAGGTTTAACGGAGGAATCGGTCTATATCTGTTGGTGTATTTCGGACAAATCGTAATCTTACTACTTTTCAAGGACAAAATCTTGGTTTCATGAGGATTTCGCTGAAAGCACTAATGATGAAAGAAGAATATGAACAAGCCACTATGAGGAACATGCATATTTCCTTAGTACAGGGATCTAATAAGCAATCTACAGAAAAATGGATCCCTCCACTAGATTTGGTAGTTAAGATCAACTCTGATGCTGCAGTTTCTTTGTTGAAGTATATTTTCCTTGTGAGTGTGAAAAACAAAAATCCTACATTGGTGAAATATAAAGAAAAGAGTGGTTGAAATATGTCAAGATCCATTAAATTAGTCTTTTAGTTATAATGTAGTGTCAAAAAACATGTGATGAACAACTCAATGTCCCCTTGCCAGGCCAAATGTCTCCCCAACATTCTCTTTCTTCAAGTCAAAGTTGGGAAGTGCAAGTATAGGGGCTTCAATAAGCTTCCTATTCAATTCTTCAAAGCTCTTTTAAGCTTTGTCGCTCCATGAAAATTTGTCACCCTTAATGCTATTAGTGATTGGGGTGGCAATAGAATTGAAGTTCTTAATGAATCTTCGATAAAAAGATGATAGGCCATGGAAACTTCGAACATCATGCATGGATGTTAGTGTACGCTAGTTGAAAATAGCATCAATCTTACTGGGGTCCATCTTGATGCCTTGAGCAGTGATGATGTATCTAAGAAATGTCACACTTGTAGTAAGAAATGAGCATTTCTTAAGATTAGCACAAAGTTTCTACTCTCTAAGGACTTCAAAAACTCGCCGGAAATGGTCCATGTGCTTCTATTCATTCTTGCCATATACTAGGATATCATCAAAGTAAACCACAACAAATTTTCCAATGAAGAGTCGAAATACCTAGTTCATGAGGCGCATGAAAGTGTTGGGAGCATTAGACAAGCTGAATGGCATGACCGTCCACTTGTACAAACCATCTCTAGTTTTGAATGTTGTCCTCCATTCATCACTAGGACACATTCAAATTTGGTGATATCCACTTCTCAAGTCAATCTTTAAGAAGACAGTAGCTCCATGCAACTGATCAAGCATATCATGAAGGCATGGAATTGGGAAGCGGTATTTGATAGTGATTTTGTTGACTACTCAACTATCTAGACACATTCTCCAAGTTCCATCTTTCTTTGGGAATAGTAGCATAGGTACGGCACTTGGGCTGATACTTTCCTTGACAAATCCTTTCTTTAATAGCTATTTGACTTGTCATTGAAGTTCCACATGCTCCTAAGGATTCATCCAATAAGCAAGTTTGTTTAGGATGACAGATCTAGGGATGAAATCAATGGCATGCTCAATGTCTCGCATCAATGGTAATCCAGGAGGGATCTCATCAGGAACAACATTAGAAAATTCTTCACAGAGAGATTGGATTTCCTCTAGAAAAGGGGAAATGGCATCATTTACTTTGCATAATAGCAGGAGACATGCTGTTCCTGATTCTCGATGCAACTTCTGAAAGGTTGATATAGAGATTAAGGCCTTGTCTTCATCCTTCTTTTCAAGTGTTTCTTCAGGCTTCAAAGGAGTGAGCTTGATTTTCACACCATCTTTCACAAACGAGTAAGTGTTGGCATGGCTGTCATGGATAGCCTTTTGATCGAATTGCCAAGGGCAACCAAGTAACAAGTGACAAGCATCCACGGGAATAACATCACACCATACTTCGTCTTGGTACCTATTACCAATAGAAAAAGACACAAGGCAACGTTTAGTTACTTTTACCTCATTTCCTTTTTGTAGCCATTGTAGCTTGTATGGATGGGGGTGATCTTTGAATGGCAGTCCTAGCTTCTCAACCATATAACTGGACATAACATTCTTACAACTTCCATTATTGATGATGACATTGCAAACTTTCCCTTGAGAAGTACATCTAGTGTGAAAGATGTTATGTTGAAGCCAATTTGGTAGCATGAAGACTTCGTTGCACAACCAAAGATTCTCCATGGTCGACTATGATGAGTTCTTCCTCAAGCTATGGTGGCTCAGTTTCATCATTAAGCTCCTTTTCTATTTCACCATCTACTTCATGAATCTTTTCTCCAATAATTGTGACAACTCTCTTGTTTGGACAATGAAGGCTATGTGGCCCAATCTTTGACACTTGAAACACTTTCGAGTTTTGGGCTGGGTCAGATGGCTTGAACTAGCTTCCTTCTTAGCTTTGGCAAGTGTTTTGGCAATAGTTTTTTAGGCTTGGGTCCCTCGGCTGGCTCCAAAATCCCATGGTTTTGAAGCATTAGTAATATTCTTCTTTGAGATTTGCTTTTCAACCCTCAATGCTAGCCGAATGATATCATCCAAAATCCAATATTGCTAAAGTTGAACAACTTTGGAAACATCATAGACCAATCCTCCAAGATATCGGGTTATGGTTTGCTCACCCTTTTCTCGAACATCACACTTCATCATTAATTGTTCAAACTCCATAGTATATTCTTCCATAGTCAAAGATTTTTGCTAAAGGTTATGAAATTTAACAAAATTACCTTGGTAGTAACGATTAGGTAAGAACTTACAAGTGAGTTACCGACACATTTTCTCCCAAGTTCTAATTTTGCTGCGACCTTCTCTTTCTCGATTGTGGTGGAGATTCTCCCACCAAATGGATGCATGTTTCTTCAATTTGATGGCGACGATCTTCACACACTTGTTGTCAGGAATATCCTTGAGTTCAAACACACGTGCCACAAAGTGCAACCAATCGATAAATTCATTAAGTTGAAGGCGACCTTCAAAATTTGGAATATCGATTTTGATGCCAAGGTTGGTGGATTTGTGAGTAGCATTTTGTTGGGGATGATGATGATGAACACTTTCTGTTGACGATGAGCTTTCGTTATCCCTCAAGTGATGGAAGGGATTCTCATCGTCAAAATCTTCCTCTGACTCGTGTAGTTTATCTTGAAGGGGTGTTGAGCTTGTTGACCCTCAAAAGCTTCGAGTCTTTCTTGAAGCCTTTGAATTTGTTGATGCAGTTCTTCCATCTCTACGTCTTGAATAGCTTGTTGACGAGTAGGATTTTGTCTTCTAGGAGGCATGTTGAGTTTAGGTTGGTAAGGGGACTTTGGGAAAGTTAGTTTTTGGAAGTAGGGGTGATTTAAAATTTATAAAAATATGGGGGACAATTTGTAAGGTCAAAATAAGTTGAGGGACTTGATGATGTGACAACAAAGGGTGAGTGTTCTGACGACGTGGTGGATGACATGGCTGATGTGATGTGGAAAATGGATGATGTGGTAGTGACTAGACAATGATGTGGCATGATGAAATGGTAGGTGACATGGTCGTTGATAGGTTGAAGATGACCAGTGTGTGATGTTTACGCGAGTTGTAGTGGTGCGCATAACCGGTATGTGAAAACACAGTGATAGTATGTGTAGGCGCGTGGAATACTTTCTGGCAATTGAATTTTCACCAGAATGGTCAAAAAGACGTGCAGACCTAAAAAATGTTGGCTTCTAATACCAAATGGCATAGGTGTCAATACCAAAACACAGATTTTGGTGAGATTTAGAATCCCACTACGATGAATTCGATTGCCTAAAAACACCACTTAGGTTGGTAAGACCTAAGATACAGAAATAAATTGAGAGAAATCCACTCTCAAAAACTCACTCAAACAGAGGAGAATTAACACAAACACTTGATTAAAACTTGATGCATACAACAGAGAGAACATGCGTATTTATTGGCTAAAGTTAACTAAAGGTTATAAATGAAAAGTAAAATGTAGTTGGGAGTTAGCCATTTTTGCTAACTTGTGTGGCCATTTTGACAAAATTGCATCGGCCTATTGTAGTTGGTGGTGCTGCAAAGTAGCTTTTGCATGCTTGTTGCATTTTTCCTAGGGTACCAATAAGGCAATGACACATGGTGGCATGGTCATAAGTGGGGTTTATAAATACCCCAACTACCTCCATGCAAGGAAATAATTTCACTACACTTCTCTCTTTGCAATTACTCTTCTTGAGATCTTTTCTCTTTAGATTATAGAGTATTGTTGACTTGAGTGTTAAAGTGTTTGCCCTGACGAAACATCCTCAGGTTTTTTAGCTACTAGAGCAATTTAAGATCTCAACAGTTTGTGAGCTTGTGAAGCTACCCAAACACTTATAAAAACTTTAGATTGTCACTATAATTAGCCAACCATAAATCGAGATATTAAAGAATTGGGTCCAAAGTTGTCTACAACGGAGTTTGGTAATTACTTGGAACCTTGTTTTGCAAAAGCAAAGAGGAACAAGTTGGTGGGGGAAAATAGGGTATTGGTGACAGCGAATTTATTGAGGGAAGATAACAAGGGGAGAAAGGGGAAAAGAAGATGAATGAAGAAGAAGGTGACAGAGATTAGGAGGTTGTAGATGAATTCAAGGGTATTCTTGTAATTTATGATGTTATAATTGATTTTTTTTCTTACTTTTCTATTTTAGCACTACTTTTTTTTATCAAATAAGTACCTTATTTTCCATGTCATCCTTTTTTTTTATCCAAATCAACCTTAGGTTTTTTGTTGCATTTCCATGTCTGCATATTAATTTAAATTTGAAGCTAAATTAATGGAGAAACAATGCCACATCAACATTTTGTTAACATAGAGACTAAAAAGGGCTAAAAAAAAAAAACTTTAGAGAATAAATAGGGGTTTTTTTGAGTATAGGGATAAAAAAAAGGCTTCTGTCCAAAGTATAGTGACCAAAATAAACCAAAAGGTTTCATCTTGTTAGCAAACCACGTAAGCAATGCATGATTTCTTTTAAACACATCAACATATCGTTAGGACATTTAGTAAGCTATGTTAGCATTGCCATACACTAAATCCTTAAACAAAAAACTTGCAAAGTTGGTGTCCATTTAAAAAAAAAAAAATTGAAAGTTAATAACCTTATATAAAAGCCAAAAGAAGTTCATATCTTTAAGTAAAAAAAAAAAAAGAAGAAGCAAAGTTGGTATTCTTATCTTCCCCTTTACTCCAACTTATCATCTTCTCCACTGCAAGTCAAGAAGTTTCCTTCCCTTGGTTTTCGTAGGATTCTTTACTTATATATCTCCGTTAATTATCAACTTGTATCTTCCCATAGGGTAAGTTTTCTATAAATTCAGTTCTTCGTTTTCTTCATCTCTGGTAAACATTGATTGCTCCTCAAATCTTCTTGCTCTCTAGATAATTATTTTTAGGTTAGAATCATCGATTATGATTTTATGTCTTTAGCAAAACTAAACATCATCACATGCATGAAAATATCAAGTTTATATTTTTTTTCAATGAGTATATCAAGTTTATATTTATTTTTTAATTTTCTTTTTTGAAAATTCTTTCTATTTCTTATGAAATATGTGTGTTTTTTTTTTCTTGAAAAATCAAGTTGGGTTTAATTTTGACCTTTTTCCTTTTTTTTTTTTTTTCCCTTGAAGCTTTGTGCCCAATGTTGTGTTGAATTTTCAGTTTTAATTAGTTCCAGCTTTAACCTCCCTTTTTTTCCTTACTATTAAGCTTGAGAAAAATGGTTTTTTTTTTTTAAATGATATTTATGATTATAGCAAAAGATCATCTGGGTATCTCAATAATTTTTTTTGGAATACTTTGAATTTTGTAGGAAAACTTATAAATCAAGGGTCAAAGTGCAATGTCTAATAATGGGGAGCTGACTTACACTCCTCGGACCATGGTCTTAGTTGGACGGACAGGCAACGGAAAAAGTGCAACAGGGAACAGTATCCTTGGACGGAGAGCTTTCATCTCGAGAGCTAGCTCCTCAGAGGTTACAACTAAATGTCAACTTGAAAGAACCGTGTTAAAAGATGGTCAAATTATTAATGTCATTGACACTCCTGGTATGAACCATTGACTCCTTTGAGTTGCTAATTCTCGGTACTGCATGTATGACATTTGCTCCCTCAGCTATAGAAATAGAATGATCCTATGTGCAAGTGATTTGTATAGTGTCTATACTTACATCATGATAATTACTTGCTAATTGGCTTTTGTTAACATACCAATTGTAGGTCTGTTTGATTTTTCTTCTGGATCGGAATTGATGAAGGAATGTCTTAAATTGGCTAGGGATGGTATTCATGCAGTCCTTGTGGTTTTCTCTGTTAGGACCTGCTTCTCACAAGAAGAAGAGGCTGCTCTTCGTAACTTGCAAAACTTCTTTGGAAGCAAAATTATGGACTATATGATTGTAGTTTTTACTGGTGGTGATGAGCTTGAAGAAAATGATGAAACCTTGGAAGATTATTTGGGGCGAAACTGTCCACAACCTTTAAAGGTTAGTTTTTGACCATGGCTATGACTGCCCAAAAAAAGAAAAAGAACAGTGGCTATAAGCTTCATTGGAATTTGTTGATCTAAATCCACCCACCTTCCAAGTCTCTGAATGAACAATTCCTTTATAGTTGTAATTATGTCAATAGGATTTACCTCATATAATTGTAGACTTCATGTTATTTTACAGTCTATAAAGTTTAAAATGTCAATTAACCGCATTTTATGTTTTCAAGATACTCGATAGATTTGCTTATCTTGTGGTGGTAAACAATGGGTGGGATATAAGATAAAAGAAATTTAACAATCAATATTGACATGAAAGCCTTGAGATTGGGATAAACCTTAGCAAAAATATAATTTTGTATTGTTGTGAGCTTTTTGCACACTTTTCTATTTCAATTTTTTTGGATGAATTAAAATCTAATTGGATAGCTTATTGCAATTCTTGTTTTAGTTTATAATTATCCTTGTTATGCAAGTAAACATGAAGTACTTATTTTTTAACATTTATCTAGGAAATGCTAACCTCGTATCAAAATCGATATGTGCTTTTTAATAACAAGACAAAGGATCAAACCCAGAGAGCCAACCAACTTCAACAGCTTCTTTCTCTCGTTAACACTGTTATGTTGCAGAATAATGGACGGCCGTATACAGGAGACACATCTCACGAGTTGCAGGTAGGTTTATTCTTTATTATTTTTTTCAATTTTGTTGCATGAATAATATGGTTAGCATTGACATTGTCAGAGAAAAGTTGAGATTCACTATTACATTTGTGTGCATGCGTGGTCTCATCTCATTCGTAAATAACAAAACGAAAATAAAAGAAATAAGAACAAAAATTAATGACATCAACGTTACTAAATGGACCCTTACGTATTGGAGGGGGTTTTGTTTCAGTTTACGAATTATTTATATGTTGCTAGCCACTAGAAAACTAATTACATGTATAGTTTTATCTGAAAATATTTGGCATGTTTTGTTATTCACGCAGGTTGAGTCAACTCTCAAAGAGTCTACTTCTAGACTCGAACAAAAGTTGGCAGTGGAGCAAGCTGCGCGGCTGGAGGCAGAAAAGAATGTACAAAGGATATCAAATGATTTAATTCCTAAGCTGGTAGCGCAACTAGAAGAAGCTAAGAAGGAGACCGATAAGATGCACAAGCAATTAGCTGAGGCAAGTGAGAATTCTAAAGGTCGTATTACGCAATAGGAGCTTACTGTTTATAACAATGCATATCTGCACGATACCATGCTGTGCATCCATTGTTAGAGCAAATTTGAGATTATCTATTGCAAATTTGCGTGCATGCATGCTCTCATTCATAAACAAGAGCACAAAAGTAAAAGAAATAAAAACAAAAATAAAAAACATCAACGTTGCTAAACATACCCTCAACTATTGGAGGGAGTTTTGTTTCAGTTTATGAACTATTTATATGCTGTTGACCAATAAAAACTAATTAAATGCTATAGGTTTATTTGAAAATATATGGTATGTTTTGTTATTCAAATAGGTTGAGTCAAAGCTCAAAGAGGCTACTGCTAGACTTGAACAAAAGTTAGCAGAGGAGAAAGCTGCACGACTACAGGCCGAAAAGAATGCACAATTGATATCAAATGATTTAATTTCTAAACTGGCAGCGCAACTAGAAGAAGCAAGCGTGGAGATTGATACGCTGCGCAGGCAATTAGCTGAGCTGCACAATAGGCTTCTGATCTGTACAATTCTCTGACATTATTACCGGTATTGCAATAGGTTCTAGTGCATGAAGTTTATCCTAGTATAGTTCTGCTTATATAATCCCCTTTCCTCCCTCCTAAGCTAAATAAAATGTTGGGTTATTATGATTCAGACTCTTGTGTAAATGCTTATGGTGCTAATATGTATTGCAACTTATATATATATATATATGGATATATATTTTTCTCTATTTTGTGTTTCTGTCTTTCAATTAAAAGACCTGAATTAGTAGACCAATATATGCAGAATATTAGTTAAATATAATGATCAATTGAAGTGATGCTTTTCATTATGTTGAGTAAGGAACAAAGCACATGGGAAAGGCCCACGTTAGATATTACAATTATTATTGCGTAATAAAGACTTTCTATTTAGCAGCATGCATATGCTTTTTGCATATCCACAGGCAGCTGGGATCAACCGCAGCTTACATATATTTCAGAATTTTTGAATTGCTGGTTGCTTATTTATAATCAATGGGGTAGGACAATGAGAGGTTTAATGGAGGAATTGGTCTGTTGGTGTATTTGGAAAAATTGTAATCTTACTGTTTTTCAAGGACAAAATTTTGGTCCTATGAGGATTTTGCAGAAAGCGCTAATAATGAAAGAAGAATATGAACAAGCCACTGTGAGGAACATGCATGTTTCCTCAGTACAGGGATCTAATAAGCAATCTACAGAAAAATGGACCCCTCCACCAGATTTGATAGTTAAGATCAACTATGATGCTGCAGTTTCTCTTTCTTCTAATAGAGCAGGGATGGCAGTTGTTTGTAGGGATTCTAGAGGCTCTCTTCTTGATGGCCTAGTTTTCAAGCAAGCTGTTGCATCAGTTTTGATGGCAGAAGCTTTAGCTCTTCGTGCTGCAATAGGTTTGGCAGTTTCTAATCGAATGCAGAAAGTTATTTTTGTGTCGGATTGTAGAATTCTGATACAGGTGCTGAATAAGGAACTCTCACTTCCTTGGCAAATTGCACCAGTAGTACAATCAATTTGGATCCCCACTGCTAGTTTTGACTTGAGTAATTTTGTCTATGTACCAAGAAGAGTTAAGAGGGTGGCAGATTGGGTTGCTACGTATACTTTAAATGGTCAATGTCCATCCTAGTGGGTGCAATCTCCAATACCTGATCTTTGTAGCTTAACTGTACGTGATTGCATTTTCAGGAGCTATTAATATAATTTAGCTTCAAATAAAAAAAGAAAAAAGAAAAAAGGGACTTTCTATTTAATTTCTGAAAAATAAACTTTCTATTTCAAAATGCGAAAAGGATAGGGTAAAAATTAAAAGATAATTATAATCCCTAGATTTAGTTGTATATATATATTTCCATTTTAGTTGTACAATAGAAAATAACTCTCTTTTATCCTTTATTCAACTCCATTCGCATATACGAGAGAGATGAGAGGCAGAAGTAGAGAGAGAGTGACTAGGAAGCAAGGAAGACGAATATCACGGAGCTGGGTCACTACAATCGCAAGGGAAGGGATAGGGGTTTCCAACCAGATTGGAGAATAGAAAGAGCTACATTTAATCAATCCATTCAGTTCTTTTTCACCAACTGCCCAGAGGAATGGAACCATGAACAAATGTGGAGAGCTTTCAGTGGATATGGCAGAGTCATAGATATCTGCGTACCAAACAGGAAGGACAAATATGGAAGACGGTTTGGTTTCGTCAGGTTTCAAGATGTGAAAAATGTCAGTATGATGGAGAAGGAGTTAGATCAGATCAAAGTAGGAGGAGTTAAGATCCATGTCAACCAACCGAGGTTTGATAGACAGACAAAAATGCAGAAGGAAGGAGATCGGAAAAGTGCAGTCGGGGCCGTTAGATTTGAGGCAAATAGGCAAGCAAGTTTATCCTATGCAGAAGCTCTCAGAGGAGTGAAGATGAACAGGCTTGGGACTGCCCAGGATAATGCTACAGAGCAACTGAGGATTCACACGGAAATTGATAGAAATGCCACTCACAGGATGAACGGAAAAAGGGAGTGGATAGCCAAAAACAAAGATGTTGAATGGCGAGGATGGGAATTCAAAACCAAGGAACTAGATTTTGAATGGGTGAAAGGCAGCTTTGTTGGGACAGCCCGAGCAGTAGAGTTAATCCCAACAATTCAAGAGAAGTTCTACATGGAGAGATACTTCTCTGTTTCATTAAAACCAATGGGTGGGAAGCTAGTTTTGATGCAATGTGATGATAGAGAATAACTGGAAAATCTAGTGGCAACAGCAAGAGATTGGCCCAATGGTTTGGTGAAATAAGACCCTGGTCTCCATCTATAGTTGCTATGGAGCAGTTTACGTAGATAAAATGCCAGGGGGTCCCTTTACATGCATGGGGACATGGGGACCAAAATTCTTCCATGATCTCAGCATGCTATAGGGAAAGTTTATCACCCTTGATGATAGTACTAGCAACAAAAAAAGATTTGGTGTTGGCAGAGTTTTAATTTCTACATCATGTATGGAGGTGATTTCAAAGCAGCTTACTGTGAAAATCGATGGAGAATTCTACAACATCAAGTGTGTAGAAGAAGAGCATTCCAACAACTTATTCACTATGAGATCCGATCATGTGATTAACAGTATGTCTAGTAGTGAGCAGGATAGTGAGTCATGGTCACCAAGTTCAGTGGAAGCAATAAGACCTACTCAAGGTGAAGATGAAAGATTTTCAAGCTTTTCTGATAATGAAGATAAGGAAGACAATGACGTGGCACCTTGGTTTGAGTGGGAAGAGGAGGGCAAAAAGGAGAATCAGTAAATTGACAACTGGCCAGCTCAAACATTAAATGCTGCTTCAGAATATTGCATTCCCAAAGATAAAAATTCAAATATTGGCTAGGAAAAGATACGGGAAATGTCAAATAGATGGGAAAGACTAGAGATGGCGATTGCTCCTTTTGAAAAAGTAACGATGCAGACGGGATTAACGAAGTCAAAGAAACTGAAGAAAATGGCAGTAGGATCAAAGAAACAGATGTTGAAAAAATGGGCATCAATTTGGAGAGGGACCAAATCAGCAATAAGGACGGTGGAACAAGATGACAATGGGCTAGAACCAAATGGGCCAGGAAAGAAATACAATGATCATGCAAGAGAGGCCCAAATCACAACACAAGCCCAAACACACTCCAATGGATCGGTAAAACACCCCAATGGCATGAGTAACAAAAAGCCTATGAAGATGAAGATAAAAAACAAAGGACACAGTATAGGAGAGTCTGAGAGTCGGAGATCTTTTTTCCAAGAGATGGATAGCGACTCAGGGACGGTGCGAGACTGGATGAAGGGGAAGGAAAAGCCACAAGTTCGTAAAAGAATCAGGAGGTCCAAGTCATGGGCATCAGTTTATAAGGCTACTAAGGTAATCAAAACAGAAGCAAGGAAAGGAAGACAAGGTACATCTAGGGAAAACCAGCTGAAAAACTTGTCTTTGCCGAAGTTCCTTCCAGATATGAATCATGCAGTGGCCGATGAGTCGTTAACTGACAGCAACATCAACATCAACAATTGCAACAAGACTATCTTAAAAAGCAAGAAGGACTTTGGAGCAGGAGAAATTTGGGAATTTGCAAAGCTAATTGGTAACGAGACACAGGGGAATGAGGAAGCTATCTTATGGAGATTGGAGAAATTAGAGGAAAAGGATAGACAATCACAAAGGCCCAACAAACGGACATGCAATCTTGAAGGGGAAGAAAAGGAGATAAAGAAAGCAGTGTGGGACTGTGATAGCTCCAAGGCCCCTAGACCAGACAGTTTCAATTTTGGCTTTCTGAAAGCAATGTGGGAGATGATCAAGAATGATGTAATAAAATTTGTAGAAGACTTTCAAAAGAATGGGAAGCTAGTTAGAGGCTCAAATGCATCTTTCATTGTCCTGATATCGAAAAAGGAAAACCCAGTAAGAGTTGAGGATTATAGGCCAATCTCTTTAATTGGTTGCATGTACAAAATTATTGCAAAATTACTAGCAAACAGAATGAAGAAGGTGATGGAGGAATTAATAAGCGGACACCAATAAGCATTTATACATGGGAGACAGCTAATGGACAGTGTTGTTGTGGCCAATGAAACCATTGATGAGATAAGAAAGAAGAAGAAAAAGAGCCTCATTTTCAAAATTGACTTCGAGAAGGCTTATGATAAGGTTTCTTGGGAATTTATAGAATACATGATGAGACGTATGGGCTTTGACAGTGTATGGAGGAAGTGGATTATGGAGTGTCTACGGTCGAGCTCAATCTCCATTTTATTGAATGGCAGTGCAACAAAAGAATTTAAAGTGAGTAAGGGCTTGCAACAAGGGAACCCCCTCTCGCCTATCTTGTTCCTTATCATCGCCAAGGGACTTTCGAGCCTATTAATGTCTGCTACAACAAAGGAATGTTTCAAAAGAGTTACAGTGGGTGTGAAGGGGCTGAGAATTTCCCATCTCCAATTTGCAGACAACACTATCATGTTTGGAGAAGCATTGGAAAGAAATGTCAAGGCAATTAAAAGCATCTTGAGGATCTTCGAAATGGTTTCCAAACTCAAGATCAACTACAATAAAAGCAAATTGTATGGAATGAATATGGAAGAGGAAGTGCTACAACACTGGGTTGTGTTCTTAAATTGCAAAACTGGTAAATTGCCCATGACTTACTTGGGAATGCCAATTGAAGCAAGATTGAAGAGCAAAGACACATGGGAAGGACTGGTAAACAAAATAAGGAGAAAGCTACCTGGTTGGAAAAACAGGTTCCTATCTTTGGGTGGGCGTTTTGTTCTCATTAATTTCGTGCTGACTAGTCTTCCTGTCTTCCTTATGTCTACTTCTCTTCTACCTGTTGGAGTGATTAAAAAGATTGATACTATTAGAAGAACATTTTTATAGGGAGGGTGTGAGGAAGTGCTACAACACTGGGCTGTCTTCTTAAATTGCAAAACTGGTAAATTGCCCATGACTTACTTGGGAATGCCAATTGAAGCAAGATTGAAGAGCAAAGATACATGGGAAGGACTGGTAAACAAAATAAGGAGAAAGCTACCTAGTTGGAAAAATAGGTTCCTATCTTTGGGTGGGTGTTTTGTTCTCATTAATTCCGTGCTGACTAGTCTTCCTGTCTTCATTATGTCTACTTCTCTTCTACCTGTTGGAGTGATTAAAAAGATTGATACTATTAGAAGAACATTTTTATAGGGAGGGTGTGAGGAAAAAAGTAAGATTGCATGGGTAAAGTGGGAAAAAGTTTGTAGGGATAAAAAACAAGGGGGGTTAGGTGTTAAGGACCTTAGGCTGTTTAATATAGCATTGCTAGGGAAATGGTGGGGAAGATTGGCAAATGAGAAAATAGGCTTATGGAGAAGGGTGTTGAAAGAAAAATATGGAGGGGATGGGGTAAGCTAGGAGGAATGGATGAGAGTGGGGCAAAACAGGGGATCTAGATGGTGGAAGGATATCTGCAAAATCAATGAGATTATTGAAGGGAAACAAGATTAGGTTAAGTCTGGGTTTAAGATGGTAATAGGTGAGGGTGCAAAGGTCTCTTTTTGGAGGGATGCATGGTCAGGGTCTTCTAGCTTAAATGGACTATTTTCTTGATTATTTTCTTTTTCCACAGATTCTCAAGGCACAGTGCAACAAATGGAAACATGGATTGATGAAACATGGAGATGGAAACTAAGATGGAGAAGAAGGCTATTAGCATGGGAGCAAGAACAAGAAGCACAACTCCAAGAAATAATACACAAGGTGCAACTTCGAAGAGATGTCAAAGACAGATGGCGATGGAGCTACGAGAAAGATGGAAATTACACAATAAAATAGCATACAACTTTTTGACAGCAACAGAGGATGGAGACGAAGATGGAGATCTTAAGAGATGCTAGAACCTGATAATTATGATGAAAATCAACACTTTTAATTGGCTTGCAGTGCTTGGACGTACACCTTGCAAGGAAAACTTACTGAAAAGGACTATCATTAAGCAAGAGTCGGATGCTATGTGCAGTTTTTGTGAAGCAAGAACAGAAAATGAGAATCACTTGCTACTGTGGTGTGACTTCTCAGCAAAAATATGGAACAAAAATTTTGCATAGTGGGAGATAACACATGTCATGCCCAAAACTTGCAAACAAGCTCTCCTCCAACATGGTTGGGCAAGTAGAAATCAAAAGGGGTGGCTGGTGGTGTGGTACGCTACATTATGGTCTCTATGGCTAGCTCGTAACCGAAAGATTTTCCAAGACAAATAACTGTCCACTAATGAGGTGTTCCATATGGTGTAGTCTAGTTCATATTGTTGGATCAATAGCAAAATTGAGGGTTGGTCATATTCTTACATGGACTGGTGTAGTAACCCTAGCAGATGTCAAATTGTAAAGTCTCAAAATTAATGACCATGGAAGGGTAGAATATAAGTAGGAAACAATTGTGATGCTTGTATTATCTAAAGGTTAGAGTACCCTTGGTACTACTTAATAAAAGCTCTTTCTTGGCTTTTTTTAAAAAAAAACTCCATTCGCAGATCATGCTACTTAAACTTAAGATCTTTTATTTCTAACGAAAGGAGATTACACTGAGTTACTTAAGTCATTAGCTAGATTTAATTGTATAATTTGACTTTTAGACAAAACTTAATTAGATAATTTTATATACTAACAAAGAGATGACAATACCAACAACTTATTGGTCCAACTAAAAGGAACTCGGTTCCTCTTAAACAAAATCTTGAGTTCGAGTCTTGTGAATGAAGAAACAAACACTAGGAGAACTTCCTCCCTTATGGGTTCCAATGTGACTCAATTCTAAATTAATCGGGCCCCAATATAATTACCGGATATGGAGGTTAATACCAAAAAAAAAAAAAACAAAGAGATGACAATTTAATTTTTTTTTGGTTTAATACCCTTTTTGGTCCCTCTACTATAGGAAAAAGCCCTTTTTTGGTCCCTGTACGGAAAAATTCCCTTTTTTGATCATTACTGTTCATAAATCCGGCCCCTTTTTAGTCATTCTGTTAAATTTTAGCTGACGTGACAGGTTAATTAACGGAAATACCCATTCTTTTTTTAACTAAATTACGTGGAAAATCCACATGGCAAAAATTGATGACATATTAAATTTTTTACTTTTAATTATTGATATACCCTCGTCTTCTTCCCTAACTTCTCCTTCCTCCAGCTTTTTCTTTTTTTTCTTTTTTTTCTTTTACCTCCCGGTGAACCCAAGAGCCTGGGTTCGTGAGGAACTCTTCCTTTTTCATTTAAAAATTAGTGAAGAAAGAGAAAAGCAAGTAAAATTGTCTGTGTCTAGGTTCATCCCCTGCAAGTCACAGTCATCCATCAAAAACACACACAGCCTATAAAACCCACCATTCTTGATTTTGTCCATACTTATCAAAAAATCAACAAAACAAGCTCATTTTCCTAGAATCAGGGGTCGGGGTCCGAGTCAGGGTCGGGGCAGGTTTGATTGAACCGGATGGCGGCAAGCTGGTGGAGCTCCTCGTGGAGGATTCGAAACGGAACATCAAGAAACGGGAGGCGTTGTCGCTTCCTAGAATCAGGTTGACGAAGAGCGACCTGCAATGGGTGCACGTACTGAGTGAGGGCTGGGCAAGCCCGCTCGGCAGATTCATGAGAGAATCCGAGTTCCTCCAACCTCTTGGCTATCGATTTTGGATCTGCAGCATCAATTTCAGAACCGCCATCACCGGATTTAACCGGAGACTGTAAAATAGAAGAAGAAGAAGAAGAAGAAGAAGAAGAACTGCGATTGATATTCACGTCTTTGTCACGGTCAATTTCTCACGCTCATCATCCAATCTAAGCACAGTGGGAGGATTAGGAGGAGAAGGTGAAGATTCCTTCTTGGGTGATCGAGATTCATCTTTTTTGGAGAACCCAGGCTCTTGGGTTCGCCTGGAGGTAAAAGAAAGAAAAGAAAAAAAAAGAAAAAAGGCTGGAGGAAGGAGAAGCCGGGAAGAAGATGAGGGTATATCAGTAATTAAAGGTAAAAAATTTAACATGTCATCAATTTTTGTCATGTGGATTTTCCACGTAATTTAGTTAAAAAAAAATTGAGTGTTTCCGTTAATTAAACTACCACATCAGCCAAAATTTAATGGAATGACTAAAAAGAGGCCGGATTTATGAATAGTAAGGACCAAAAAAGAGATTTTTTGGAGAACCCAGGCTCTTGGGTTCGCCTGGAGGTAAAAGAAAAAAAAGAAAAAAAAGAAAAAAGGCTGGAGGAAGGAGAAGCCGGGAAGAAGATGAGGGTATATCAGTAATTAAAGGTAAAAAATTTAATATGTCATCAATTTTCGTCATGTGGATTTTCCACGTAATTTAATTAAAAAAAAATTGAGTGTTTCCGTTAATTAAACTACCACATCAGCCAAAATTTAATGGAATGACTAAAAAGATGCCGGATTTATGAATAGTAAGGACCAAAAAAGAGATTTTTTCGATATAAGGATTAAAAAAAGGTTTTTTCTTGGAGACCAAAAAGGGTATTAAACTTTTTTTTTTCTTTCTATATGTAGTTTTTATTGGGTATTTTCACTTAGATAAAAAAAATTAATTATCATTTACATAAAATTATCAAATTAATTTGCATAAAGTTAAAAGACTAACAATTAAAAAAGGCTAAAGAGAATATTTTGGAGTTTGGAGTGTACCACTAAACTACAAAAACAATAATCTTCTTTATTTTTATCTTGAGTTTTATAACGAGAGGTACTTTTTTCTCATGCTTAATTAATCCTTTGATGTGCTATGTGATTTTGAAATCAAAGCTTTTTATTTTCTATGAAAAAATTAATAATAAAATATTTAAGTTATTGGCTTAAATAATAATTTTTTAATAAAAGTAACCCTTAATACTAGTAGTGGTTCATTTAATAATTTAAGTTTTATATTGTAATTAATTCAAGTTGCATAAGATATTTTTATAAAACAAATTTATGAAAATAATTATGTCTGCTAAGATTTGATTTCTTAATAAAGCAATGAAATAATAATTTTTTTTAAAAAGATAATTTTTAAAAAATTTCTTAAAATTAAGAATTTCCTAATCTCCACCTGAATGGTCTGAATTTGACCTGACAGCTAAATTTTTTAAAAAAAAATTATGTCTGCCAACTGCCACTGAACGCAGCACCACCATAGACATCGGTGGCTCACCTCCACTCTCAAACGCTGACCTGTCCATCCTTCCATCCAACCTTCTTTCTTCTAGAGGTCGGGGTTAATCGTATTTGTTTCTTCAACGTTTTCACGCTCTCTCTGTCTATCCTTCATCCTAAACCCCTTCTAATTCAATCCCCCTCCCTTAACCCCTTCTAATTCCGTGCTTTTCCCTTCTCCTTGAATCCAATCAACGGAAATTTGAAACTTTCATCCCTTCTCGAACGGCCCGATTCAATCAATCAATCATTCAGACAAGAATCACTGTGCATCGCATCCTAGATCCTTCAGTTCAATGGGGTTGGGTTTTTTGATTCCATTCCGATCGAATAACCCAGATCAATTTAATCGGTATTCAACAGGAAAAGAAGGGTTTTTTTTATTTGGATTGAATTGCTAATAACTGGAATTATCAGGGAATTTGGGGTTTTGTTTATCTGCGAGCTTTTGCGATCTTCACATGTTAGTATTTTGAACTGAAGGAGGTCTCAGAGTTTATTCTGAAGCGGCTTAAGCACAAAAGCCCCGCTATCAAGCAGAAGATATTCTATTCAGTTTGCTGATTGGTTGTTGATTATCTGTTCACATTGATTGTGAATATTTTGGTTGAAATTAAAAACTAAATGAAGAAAAAATATATTTAGTCAAGCAATTAAATGATGTTGGTAAATTTGTTCTCCTTCTGTTAGGTTTCTGACATTAACACTATCAAGTTTTTTATTTTTTTATTTTTTTTGGCCGGAAAACAAAACTAGTAATTAGAACAACTACTCAAAGGTACAGATTACATGAGTAATAACATCCAGAAAAACAAAGCAAAAAAACTGGCAGCACATTGCCAAGACAACATCGAGTTTGAGGGGACACTTCCTTACATATGTTCAGGAATTCAGGATGACTACTTTTGCATTTCAATGTTTACAGTTAGTAATTCACTTTTTTTTCCTTTTTCCTATACATCTTTCCTAGAAAAATTGAGTTGTGGAGAATGAAGATTCTGAGTTGCATGATTCCGTTAACTTTGTTTTATGGTGCGTACCTGTTAAAATTTGTCATTGTAAATAAGGGTTCTACAAGTGATACTGAAAATCTTGATCTGATTTAGCATTTCCTTTGATTTTAATAATTATTGAAACTTTTCTATGATGATACCTATTGGTAGGGAATTCGTTATTCACCTCAATGTACAATAAACAACAGACCAGTGACTAATAAGTACTAACATTCATTTCGCGCTCAACTTCTAATTCCAGTAACTACTTACATGTTGTGATGATAGATTGATATTTTATAAGAATAAACGTGTTGGAAACATTTTACCCAAAATTCAGAGTTTTTAAACATGTAATACTTGTATTCTTGGATTTTGCAGGCTCCAAGGTTGATAAAATATAAAGTCGTAAAGTCTGGCCTGAATTCAGAGGGGAGATGCAACGAAATACAGTAGCAGTGCGTCCGCTGTTACATTACAAAGGGAAGTTGGATCCTTTGAAGGGGGATGCCCGTAATAAGGCTGTGAGAGACAAAGCTCAAGAGACTATTTTTGCTATATATGATGAGTTGAAATTATATATATATTAATGTGGAATTTTCACCTTGATATTATTGATATTTGAATGAGTTTTGTGGGATTTTACTTAATTTTACATAATTTTTATTCTTTGTATAAGAAAAGACTTAATTGGAAGAAATCATAATTTTTAAGAGTAAATTACAGAGATCAGAAATATGAGGGTTAACTTGTGCAAATCCAGAAGTTAAGAACCAGAATTGCCATTTAACCATTAACAGAAATTGCGAAGAAGGTCAAAAACCCAACACGGTGATGGTATTGTGCGTTGAACAGAAAGTGGTGGCACCCTGTTGAAGGTGTTGACCTGATTTAAGGAAATCCATACATAATTTATTATTTTGGATGTGGATCTCACTTTTTTTTCAATTAGGGTTTTTAAAATCCTATAAATACCCATCCAAATTCAAAATAGGGAGAGTTGTGGATGCTGGTGGTAGCTCTCTTTTGGGCATTATTGAAGATCAAGATAGAGAATCCATTAACAATAGGAAATCAAGTATTTCAATTTCCTTAAATTAAGTTTTATTCTTTCTTGATATTCTCATATTCATAACTATGATTTCAAATTTTATTATTTTTATTATGAACTAATTTATTTTATTAAGGCTGCAATGTAACTTAATCAATTTATTATAAATTTTGTGATTTTATACTTTTAATTAAAGTTATTCATATGATGAGTTTATATTATTGAACTTAATGCATTGAAAACTTGATCACCTTTCGATTGATTTAGTGATTTATGCAGGAACTTGAGAAAAAATTGGGTAAATTAGACCAATAATAATAATATAAACCGTATATTAGACTATGAGACCGAGGGATAATTAGTATCACATGTGATAGTGGAAGAAGAAAAGAGAGTTAGGAGCTCCCCCTTCTTAAGCTAGAGGTTTCCATAGAATTTAAAATGCTCATTAGTTTATTTAAAATTACATGGAGATATAACTAATTTAACAAACAAGTGAAGGATTAATTTGACTTGAGAAACTAGTTAATTAATTTAGGGAAATCCGCCATTACATGCAATAACACTTAACAAATTAGTTTTGAAAGTATATTAATTTAGAATTTATATTAATTGATTATGGTGAAATCGATGTCTTATTACCTCATATCTTGGTTAATTTTATTTTAATTGTTATGTTCTTTTTATTATTTTAATTAAAGTTTTTTTCCTTTTCGATTGTTCAAATAAATTTGGATTAATTCTTTTGGTACTTAGTTAAACACAATCCTCGTGGGTTCGACACTCTTCTCATCATTATATTACTTGGAACAACTAGTACACTTATTAGGGTGATTTTCGTGCATCAAGTTTTTGGCGCTGTTGCCGGGGATTGTTGATTTAATTAATATCAAAATTGGTTAATTCTAAATTTAATTTGAACATTTTCTTTTCTTTTATTTCTTTACTTTGATTTTTTTTGTTCCTTTTGTTTTTGTTTTTGTAGGTTTAATTATGGATCGAGTTGTCATAGACACTATGTGGGTTATCACTATCTTGCTCCAAAGTTAAGGGCACAAGTTGAAGCAATAACTATCAATTGGGAAGCAGAACTTGACGATGATGAATTTGAACAACTTCAGGCAATCATTGAAAAAATTGAATTAAAGAAGGCTATGGTAAAACAATTTAATATTACTTGTCGATGGTATGAATTAGACCATTTTAGTTCTGATTGCTATTTTAAACCATCTAACAAGCATGTTGATTTTTCTTGTGATTTTTATAGCCAGTAATATAATTCTTATCCCAATACTTGCAACTTTGATTGGATGAATTATCCAAACTCCTCATGGAATAATGAAGATATATTGAATCCACAATCAAGGTTTCAAGCTCAAGAAGAGGAGACATGTCTGGATAAAAATTTGGAAGTTCAATCAAGTTATTTGCTCAACTTAGTTGCTGAAGAAATAAAAGGTGAGTTACCTAGTGCAATAATGGCAAATCAAGAAGAAGAGGTAAACACTTTAATTCAAAGGAATTTGCATATTTTTATGAGTCCAATGGCATTAAAAGGCAACTCACAGTAGCCTATACACCTTAACAGAATGGTGTATGTGAGAGGAGGAATCGCACAATCATGAATATGGTGCAAAGTCTGATGTCAAAGAGTGGCTTGCCTAAGGAGTTTTGGCCAGAAGCTGTTAATTGGAGTGTTCATATCTTGAACAGAAGTACCACATCTCCACTTCCAGATTTGACACCAGAAGAGGCTTGGAGTGGACGTAGACCTGCTGTTGATTACTTCAGAATTTTTGGATGCATAACATATGCACATGTGCTAGATCAAAAAAGGAGTAAGCTTGATGACAAAGGGGAAAAGTGTATTTTCCTTAGTGTTAGTGATCAGTCCAAAGCTTACAGATTATACAATCCTTTAACCAAGAAGGTCATCATTAGCCGTGATGTAGTGTTTGATGAAGCAAGCACCTGGTCTTGGACAGAAAAATCTGGGCAATAGATTCCTGCAGATTTCGAAAATGGAGAAAATCTAACTATGCAGAACTTAGAAGGTCAAACACAACAGACTGGAGGTTTAACTTCAGCAGATCTCAAGGTTTCAAGATAGACAGTTGAAGAAAGTCTGCCTATAGAAGTAGAGCTCAGTACTGGAGGAAATTTGCCAACAACACCAGAACTAGAATCTGGAACTAGTTCCAAACCTCAACGCAAAAAGAGAAAACCAACATGGTTGGAAGATTATGAGGTAACAGATCTACCTCAAGATGATGTTCCAATTACACATTTTTCTCTATTTGTAGATTGTGATCCATTGACATATGAAGAAGCTGTTAAAGAAGAAAAGTGGCAAAAAGCCATGGCAGAAGAAATTGGTTCTATTGAAAGGAACTAGACTTGGGAGTTGACAGATCTTCCAGAAAGGCACAAAACAATTGGTGTTAAGTGGATCTACAAGACAAAGCTCAAAGAGAATGGGGCGGTTGACAAATTCAAAGCTCGCTTTGCGGCAAAGGGTTATAAGCAAGAGTTTGGCATTGAATATCAAGAAGTTTTTGTTATAGTTGCAAGGATGGATACTGTTAGATTGGTGATTGCATTGGTAGCACAAAACTCATGGCCGATCTACCAGCTTGATGTGAAATCTGCCTTCTTGCATGGAAATCTGCAAGAACATGTATTTATTGATCAACCTCTTGGTTATGTGAAATTTGGTTCTGAGCATAAGGTTTACAGATTGAAGAAAGAATTATATGGACTAAAACAAGTACCTAGAGCTTGGTGTAGTCGAATTGATGCTTATTTTTTGAAGGAAGGTTTTCAAAAGTGCCCTTATGAGCATACACTTTACATCAAATTTGGAGATGGAGGTAAATTGATTATAGTATGCTTATATATTGATGATTTAATTTATATTGGGAATGATTTTGGCATGTTGGAAAAGTTCAAGCAGTCCATGAAGCTTGAATTTGATATGACAAATCTGGGTTTGTTGCATTATTTTCTTGGTCTCGAAGTAGTACAGTCAGATTCTGGAATTTTTGTTTGTTAGAAAAAAATATGTGCAGGAAGTTCTAGACAGATTTCAAATGAAGAACTACAATTCTGTCACTACACCAGTTGACAAAGGTGTAAAGCTCATGAAAGATCCAAAAGGCAAATCTGTGGACAACAAACTGTATAAGAGATTGTTAGAAGTCTGATGTATCTGATAGCAACAAAACCAAATGTAATGCATGGTGTAAGTCTAATTAGTAGATATATGGAGCATCCAAAAAAAGTTGCACTCGCAAACTGCTAAAAGAATTCTTAGGTATTTATGTGTAACTGCAGATTTTGGACTATTCTATAAGAAGGGTGACCAGACAGATCTCGTAGGCTTTACAGACAGTGATTATGCTGGAGATCTGGATGATAGAAAAAGCACTTCTGGGCTTGTTTTTATGTTGGGATCTGGTGCAATTTCATGGTCTTCAAAGAAGCAACCCATTGTGACTTTGTCCACAACAAAAGTGGAGTATGTGGCAGCAACTTCTTGTGCTTGTCAAGCTATTTGGTTGAGAAGAATTATGGAAGAACTTGAGCTGAATCAACATAAGGCCACTTCAATTTATTGTGATAACAATTCAGCCATCAAGCTTTCTAGAAATCCAATTCTACATGGGAGAAGCAAGCAAATACATGTGAGGTATAATTTCTTGCGCAACTTGGTAGAAGATGGAACAATTGAGTTGATTTATTGTAGAACAGAAGATCAAGTGGCTGATATATTCACAAAACCCCTCAAAGTAGCAGCTTTTTCAAAACCAAGAAAGTTACTTGGTGTTTGCAGTATGCAGAATTCAGTTTGAGGGAGGGTCTGTAGATTCCAGATTGCAAATCTGCAAATATGGTGTTATCTAGATTTATTTAAACTAAAGTCAGAAGACTTTCAGTTTAAGGGAGGGATTGTTGGAAATTTGATCCTATTATTTAGCTATTATCTCTATAATTTAGGAAGTTTAAGTTATTTCTTTGTTTTAGGTTGTTATCATTTAAATTAGATTAGATAAGATTTGTTAGTTATTTTTTTAGATAATATTATCTTGTAAAGCCTATTTAAAGGCTGGATTATTTTAGTTTAACGTGAGATTCAGTTTTTCATTCCACTTCTTCTTCTCGAGAATCCTTGATTTTTAACATTGGTGATAGTGAATGTATAGAGGGAAGACCAAAAAAAAAAAGGGGGGGGGGAGAAAAGGGAAAAGAAAATGAAAGAAGATAAAGGTGAGAGAGATTAGGAGGTTGAAGATGAATTTAAGGGTATTCTTCTAATTTATGATGTTGTAACTGATTTTTTTCTTACTTCTCTATTTTAGCACTACTTTTTTTTATCAAATAAGTACCTTATTTTCCATGTCATCATTTTTTTTTATCCAAATCAACCTTAAAGATTTTATTGCTTTTCCATGTCAGCATATTAATTTAAATTTGAAGCTAAATTAATGGAAAAACAATGCCACATCAACATTTTGTTAACAGAAAGACTAAAAATGGTTAAAAAAATAAACCTTAGGAATTAAAAAGAGGCTTTTTTTATTATGGGGATCAAAAAAGGCCTTCTGTCCAAAGTATAGTGACCAAAATAAACCAAAAGGTTTCATCCTATTAGCAAACCACGTAAGTAATGCATGGTTTCTTTTAAACACATCAACATATCATTAGAACTTTCAGTAAGCCATGTCAGTAAATCCTTAAACAAAAAACTTGCAAAGTTGGTGTTCTTATTTTAAAAAAATTAAAAGTTGATAACCTTATTTAAAAACCAAAAGAAGTTCATATCCTTAAGTAGAAAAAACAGCAAAGTTGGTATTCTTATCTACCCCTTTACTCCAACTTATCATCTTTTCCACTGCAAGTTAAGAAGTTTCCTTCCCTTGGTTTTCCTAGGATTCTTTACTTATTTCTCTTAATTACATATCCACTTGTATCTTCCCATAGGGTAAGTTTCCTATAAATTCAGTTCTTCGTTTTCTTCATCTCTAGTAAACATTGATTGCTCCTCAAATCGTCTTGCTCTTTTGATATTTATTTTTAGGTTAGAATCATCGATTATGATTTTATTTCTTTAACAAAACTAAACATCATCACATGCATGAAAATATCAAGTTTATATTTATTTTTCAATTCTATTTTTTGAAAATTCTTTCTGTTTCTTATGTAATGTGTGTGTGTGTGTGTGTTTTCTTGAAAAAACAAGTTGGGTTTAATTTTGACCTTTTTCCTTCTTTTTTTTTCTCCCCTTGAAGCTTTGTGCCCAATGTTGTGTTGAATTTCTTAGTTTTAGTTGCATCTTAAACCTCTTTTTTTTTTCCTTACTATTAAGCTTGAGAATTTTATTATTATTATTTTTTTTTTGTAAATCATTTTTATGATTATAGCAAAAGATCAGCTGGGTATCTCATTAATTTTTTTTGGAATGTTTTGGATTTTGTAGGAAAACTTATTGATCAAGGGTCAAAGTGCAATGTATAATAATAGTGAGCTGACTTACACTACTCGGACCATGGTCTTAGTTGGACGGACAGGCAACGGAAAAAGTGCAGCAGGGAACAGTATCCTTGGACGGAGAGCTTTCATCTCGAAGGCTAGCTCCTCAGGGGTTACAACTAAATGTCAACTTGAAAGAACCGTGTTAAAAGATGGTCAAATTATTAATGTCATTGACACTCCCGGTATGAACCATTAGACTCGTTTGAGTTGCTAATTCTCGATACTGCATGTGTGACACTTGCTCCCTCAACTATAGAAAGAGAATGATCCTATGTACAAGTGATTTGTACAGTGTCTATACTTATATCATGATAATTACTTGCTAATTAGCTTTTGTGAACATACCAATTGCAGGTCTGTTTGATTTTTCTTCTGGATCGGAATTGATGAAGGAATGTCTTAAATTGGCTAGGGATGGTATCCATGCAGTCCTTGTGGTTTTCTCTGTTAGGACCCGCTTCTCACAAGAAGAAGAGGCTGCTCTTCGTAACTTGCAAAACTTCTTTGGAAGCAAAATTATAGACTATATGATTGTCGTTTTTACTGGCGGTGATGAGCTTGAAGAAAATGATCAAACCTTGGAAGATTATTTGGGGCGAAACTGTCCACAACCTTTAAAGGTTCGTTTTTTACCATGGCTATGACTGCCCAAAAAAAAAAAAAGAACAGTGGCTCTAAGCTTCATTGGAGTTTGTTGATCTAAATCCACCCTCCTTCCAAGTCTCTGAATGAACAAGTCCTTTATAGTTGTAATTATGTTAATAGGATTTACCTTATATAGCTGTAGACTTCCTGTTATTTTGCAATCTATAGCATTTAAAATGTCAATTAGCTGCATTTTATGTTTTCAAGATGCTTGATAGACTTACTTGTTTTGTGGTTATAAATGATGTGTAAGATATAGGATTAAAGAAATTTAACAATCAATATTAACATGAAGGCCTTGGGCTATGATAAACCTTAGCAAAATGTACTTTTGTATTTTGTGAGTTTTTTTGCATACTTCTCTATTTCTATTTTTTCTCATGAATTAAAATATAGTTCAATTGCTCATTGCAACTCTTGTTTTAGTTTATAATTGTCCTTGTTATGCAAGTGAACATGAAGTTATTATTTTTTAACATTTATCTAGGAATTGCTCACCTCATGTCAAAATCGATACGTGCTCTTCAATAATAGGACAAAGGATGAAGCCCAGAAAGCCAAGCAACTTCAACAGCTTCTTTCTCTTGTTAACATTGTTATGTTAAAGAATAGTGGATGTATGTATACCGACCAAATATATATAAAGTGGCAGGTAAGTTTATTCTTTATTTTTGTCAGATTGTTGCATGAATAATATGGCTAACATTGACATTGTCCGAGCAAAGCTGAGATTCCCTATTACATTTGTACGCATGCGTGATCTCTTTCATAAATAGTAGAACAAAAATAATAATAATAATAATAAAATAAAAATATCATCCTTACTAAAAATGGACCCATTTGCTTGAGTTTGTGAACTATTTATATGTTGGTTTTTTTTTTTTTTTGATAGACACTATTTATATGTTGTTGGCCAATATAAAACTAATTATGTGCTATAGGTTTATTTAAAAATATATGATATATATGTTTTGTTATTCTCATAGGTTGAGTCACAGCTTAAAGAGACTACTGCTAGATTTGAACAGAAGTTAGCTGAGATGCAAGCTGCAGAACAAGAGGCAGAAAAGAAAAGACAATTGATATCAATTGATCTAACTAATAAGCTGACAGCACAACTAGAAGAAGCGAGGAAGCAGACTGAAGCGTTGACGAAGCAATTAGAGGAGCTGCGCAATAGGCCTGTGCCTCCTGTCCATTTCCCTGTCCCTATTCCTCAAGTTTTCCCTCCCTGCCCAATTCTCTGATGATGTGATTGCCGGTACGGCGAAAGGTTCTAGTGAATGAAGTTTATCCAAATATGGTTCTGTTAATATAATCCTCTTCGTCCCCCCTAAGCTAAATAAATTGTTGGATTATTATGATTAAGACTCGTGTAAATGCTTATAGTGCTAATATGGTATTGCAACTTAATTATGGATATATATTTTTTCTGTGTTTTTCTTTTTTCTGTCTTCTGAATTCTGATTCAAGGACCCTCTCAAACAAAATTTCAAATATACAATGAAAGAAATTTGCTTAAAACAAACTTACTATATAACCTCTCTCGAAGATCCTCAACTCAACGTGTGTGTGTGCATATATATATATATATATATATATAT